AACTGGCTCTGGTAGTAAAAATAGCAGGTCTGTGATATTAAATATGCAGGCTACTCTCCGTGTCTGGTTTTCCTTTTGCTTATAAAGATATACAAAGGTCCTGCTTGACCAGAAACTTTGAAATCTCTTCCTAAGAGTTTGGGAAAAGGAAGGGGAGGAACATAGCCGTTTGTCTGATTACTTCACGAGTTTTTCTTGCCGATTAGGCATGTCAGCTGTGAGTTCACACCCTCTTCAACTGTCACCGCACTCTGCTTGCGTCAGGTTACTTTAATGTCCCAGTTAACTGAGACCGTTACAGAAAAGTTAGATTAACTTAAAAAAAAAAGAGGTTCAAGAGTTAAGATTGGCCTTCTTGTCTTGTTTTCGAAAAAAATAAAGAGAGCATATCCGATGTCACTCATGTGCACCTGCCGATCGGCTCACTTGCACTGGCTTTGATTATCTCAGACTTGGTTAAGAACCCATCACTTATCTAGACAGTAATCACATGATCAGATAAGGCTGATGTCTTTCTATAAATATGCATTATCGTGATAAGCAAATCAGATCTCTCTGGGTGGCAGAAGGAGGTTAGGTGAGATTTCCGGTCGTGTGTGATTTGGGCTAATCTGAGTATCCCCAAAACGCAGTGAGACAAAAACTTGAAACCCGGTTTGCTTTTATTACTCTCTATAATATGATGAAGCAATGTTAGGAACCTTGATCATCTTAGCACTTAGTTTTACAGTAAATGAAGGGTACATTTTCACACGCCTGTATTTCTTAATGTCTTGCATAATAAAGAGAAGTATTCTTTTTCTTCAATAAAAGATAAGATTCTTTGATGGTTTCGTTCTGGTATGCTGGTTATAGTTCAGAGGACAGAACTCACAACAAACTCATTAATGTTTTTCTTTTTTGCTGTCAAGTCACAGCTGGTTTATGGCAACCCCATAGAGTTTTCAAGACGAGATGTTCAGAGGTGGTTTACCATTGTCTGCCTCTGTGTCACAACCTTGGACTTCCTTGGGGGTCTCCCATCCAAATACTAGTCAGGGCTAACCCTGCTTAGCTTCCGAGACTTGACCAGACCTGGCTAGCCTGGGCCATCCAGGTCAGGGCCTCATTCGTATTAGAGATAGAAAAAGAGGTGCAGGAGCTTATTTGCATATGCCACACCCCCTGGCAAAGGGCATGCATGCAAGAATGCCTGGGTTCCCTGCCCGATCTTCTCCTGGTGCCCCGTGGGTGTGGGGGGGCCCTCTGCAGGCCTTCCCTGGCCCATTCGCCTCGGCAGGTGGGCCAGGAAAGGTGGGGGGGGACCCCTGGGCTCCTTACTGCCAGAGTGCCATTCCGGTGCGCTCCGGCAGGAAATGACCCCTGATTAGCAGACTGAAAAGTTGACAAAAAGCCTTTAATAGATAAATCCTGGAAAACTTTGCTATTAAACGTTTTGAATAGCCAAAGCCTTACTGGAATTGTTAGTCCAGATTCTCTAGTTGGACGTGGGAGGGAAGCATCCCGTTACAGGAAGACATCTCTCATCTTTTTTTGCCCAGCAGAAAGCAAACATACAGATTTCCTGACAGGACCCACAACATACCTGTTGGAATGTCTAAACTCCAGATCTAGTCATCTTCACCGAAAAGTCAATGCACCGGGGTGCCTTTCACCGTTTCAGAAGTTCACGGCAATAATCAGAGAAGCAGAGAGCTCTTACCTGTGGGTGTTTAACTCTGGTTCAAGGAAGTTAGACACTCACCCACTGTGGCACTGAGAGCCACACAAAAACGGGAAATCCCAGGACTTGGCTACCACAGTAACTTCCTGTTGTTCAAGTATTCTAGCCCCAGTTTGCCTCAGGCACGACAGTACAATAATCATGATTCAGGTTGTTATTAAAGAGCTCCTGATTGCAGAGTCTTCTCAGTTGCTTAGCTACAACCCAAAAGCAGTTAGGTATGCAGCAACAACAAAAATATCTACCGGGACAAGTTTCTGGTACCACAATTCCAAAGTGAACACAACATGAATTTTATTTCGGTTGCAAACTCGGACTCTCCCCTTTGGGGTTAGGAATTTGGTAAGCAGTGGGGTACTGCAGGGATCAGTACTTGGTCCAATGCTTTTTAACTTGTTCATTAATGATTTGGAGTTGGGAGTAAGCAGTGAAGTGGCTAAATTTGCAGATGATACGAAGTTGCTCAGTGTGGTGAAAACCAAGGAGGATTGTGAGGCACTCCAAAGGGACCTGTCAAGGATGGGCAAGTGGGTGTCAACATGGCAAATGGGGTTCAATGTGGCCAAGTGCAAGGTGATGCACATTGGAGCCAAAAATCCTAAATATAAATACACATTGATGGGGTCTGAACTGGCAGAGACTGATCAAGGGAGAGATCTTGGA